CATATATGCATACATATCCTTATGTACCCACACATATATATGTAGTTACATATATATAAGCGTGTGCATGCATGTGTATGTATGTGTACTCAGGTGTATATAGCAGAATCCATGTGTATAAATGTCTATGCATGTGTGTGTATGTGGTGTATGTGGTGTATGTGGTGTGTGTGTGGGGGGGGGGGGGGGGCATGTGCATGTGTGTACGTGTGCGCGTGTGTGTGTGTGTACGTGTGCATGTGCGTGTGGTCATTTGTTATTGTATGTATACATATATAAATATAAAATGCAATGCAATGTTAATAAATCAAGCAAAGGGGCAAAGGTAGGGCAGATAATTTGCAGCAAAGAATACATAAACATAAGAAAGGGGGAAAATAATAAAAAACAAAAAACAAAAAAACAAAAAAAAAACTAGACATAAAAAAAGGATTGAGTATTTAAGTTGGGAGTCCTGCAAAAAGGTCTATCCTAATCCAACCTTGACTGAAACTGCCCTGTCCCCAGTGGGGGAACGCCGAGGCCTGCTGCGGTGGCAAGCCTGGCAAGAAGTCTGGGCTTGAGTCGTAAGCCTGGGATTGCTCGTTAGCCCTAGTCGGGGCTTTAGCTTTAGCCTCCTCCTCCTTCTCCTCCTTATGCGAGTGGGCATAATGGTAAGTAAGGCCAGGCCGCGTCTTGTACCGCATCCCACACACTGCAACACACCAACAACATGCCGCACACACTCCACAAAGTTAAAAGGGGACAAGGGGCATGGGAAAAAGGGGTAAGGAGAAAAGATGGGGGCCGGGAAGAGTCTACTTAGTTGTAGTAGTAGGACAAAGGTTAACATTGGTTTGGCATTCGTACTGAATAATTATTAAATAATAATAATAATAATGATAAATAAAAAATAACAAAATAAATCACAGGGAGAGAAAAAAAAGGTAAAAGAGGGCTAAAATGGAAAATTAATTAAAAAAGGCATATATATTAAAGAAAGAAAGTAGTAGTAGTAGTAGTGGTAATAATAATAATAATAATTAATAATCAATAACAATCATAATCAAATAAAATGTAAACATATCTAGAGCAGGCTAAATTAACATTTATGGACTCATTCAGCAAAATATCACTTACTATTCCATGACACTATTTTACAAACATCAAATGTAGATACACAGTAGGGTATGGAGCATAGATGTACACAACTCAGCATCTAAGTTCTTTCTCTTAACCCATTTACGACGGGTGTTCCACACATGAGACACCCGGAAAAATAAACATTGCCGGGCGTCCCACCAGTGTGACGCTGGATCGGAGCTTGTGCTCTGATTCCATCGTGGACTGCAGCTGGCATGCGGGCAGATTCCGGGCCAGCCCCGCGCGCCGATTTTGAAGCCGCCCGGAAACTTTTATTTTCAGCTTCAAAATATACCGTCGCTAGTGGGTTAAGAATCAGTTATAGTTTCTCTACCTATCATGATCAATTTCTAAGGAATCCTAATCCTGTTGATATAAGTACACACACAATGGGATCTGCTCTTTAAGATTCCCTATTTTCAGTATCATCACTGAATATCAGCATGAAGAATTCCAACAGTCTGCCTCTCAGTATAAATGGGGAATCTTGGTGTATCAATGCATGTTCTTGGGTCCCACACATAAACAGATCTTGGCACTTACACTTGCAAGCACAGAACATACTTGGTGATCTGTTTCTCGTAGAGTACTGCCTCTTTTGCCACTTGCCTTTTCCCCATTGAGGTTAATGTTATACCTCACACATCATCTGCACATATACATCTTTTACCAAGTCTATACACAAAGTAAAATCTCTCATATCTGTAACATTTATTATCTGAAAATATTCTTACCAAGAACTCTACTATAAGCATATTAGTGTGCCTCTTAGCAGATCCAGACGGAAAAAAATTAGTCTTTATTCATCTTCCCGTTTCTGGTTCCACTGTTTAAGCCTCTTCGTATATGAAATGCTTTTAGATACTTGCATGCCTTCATTTTTATTCCCTTGCCACCGCATGGAATGTAAGTACATGCCATGGCTGTTGTGGGCTAAGTAGCGAGTGGCATCATGTCACGGCCATTCCCGCAGTGTCACTGGATGGAGCTTGTTTTTCTCTGATAGTTGCGGCATCATTTCTATGGTAACTCTTATATACAATAGCACCCAAGTAAAGGTAACCTTTCAGATTTTTTATATAAAAAAAATCATATCAAAATACAAGCTTTTAGGAGCCTAATGTTGCTCGTAAACTACCAAAATAAGACTGGTGCAGACAGGGGATACTGTTGATGCATGCCAACAATCACGTCCATTTGCTCATTTTCTTTTAACCCGGTGTTACTGGGTTAATCTTTGTTACCAGGAACATACAATACTTATTTTGGTTTAGTTTGATCTTGTTTACGCATAAATGATTTTACCAATACCTTGGGCTAATTGATCTTATCTGTCAACCCCATTCCTTGAATTTTTGGGAAAAACGAGTTTCATTTC